TGATACGTGGAAAGCAGCAATCATCAGACTCTGGTTACCATAGCAATGAAGTACACTCAGTTCAATCCCAAGTCTAGTGGAAAGCTACACCACAGAAAGTCATTCTATTAGAAATGATGTAATAGACGTGTTTGAATCCATCTCCCCCAGAACAAACTCTTAAAAGCACAGATACTGAAAATTAAAAGAAAAACTCAAAGTCAAATCTTTAATCAAATTAGTAAAGAATTGATGGCACACTGTGGGAAGTGTCTTCCTGGTCGGGAGAAATTGGTTCTAACAAAACAAAGGAAACTGGCTGGCATCTATCTTGGACATGGTACAGATTCCACTGAGTATCATGGTTCTGAGATGTCCTAAAAGTTGCTTTGTTTGAAGCTGCCATGATAGAACATGTCCAGACAAAAGTAAAATAGAACCTCTTTTCAAACAATTTCCATTTACATATTCCAAACTGGCAGTAGATGCAGGCACAGGGGGAAATGCTGATAATTTACATCCGAGACTTTTAAAAATGTCTGCTGGGTAGCACTCAAAATACTAGAATATAGGGAGGAGGGTAGAAGAGAGAGGGAAATATATTCACTAATAATAACAGGGCAAGTAAATTGAGAAGCTTGAGTTATGAACAACACAGACTAGTAAGACGTGACAAATGGAGAAATATGGTCTCCTGGCCAAAAGCTAAAACAGATTTGGGGAGGTGGGCTAGCCTTTGACTTAAATAGTTTCTGTAGGCTGATCTGACTAACATGCCCACTACTTCCCACACTGTAGTTCAGTAAACAGTTAGCTAAATTCAGTGATTAATAGAACAAACAAGAACTGAAAAGTTGCAAAAGCATTAAAAAGTACAATGAAAAATCAGATTAAAAATGTGTTTTTCAAGGAAGAGAAAGCTAATATGAATAGCTCTCTGCAGTTTACAAAAATAAAAAACTGTAAATATCTTATTAATATAATAGATTGAAAATCTCAGGCGACACATTATGCTTCAATAAAGAAAAAAGCACAAAGATTAAAAAGGAAATTGTGGGGAAAACACAATGAAGGCAGTAAAATCATTATTGTGTTGGAAATTACAAGTTACAAAACTAAATGAATACAACTGAAAACACATTTGCATATAGTTGAAAAAAATCTGATACATGAAAAGATACAAAATAAATTTAGAAACTATTACAGGAAGAAATTTCATGCTAGTTGTAATATTTTAAAAATGTTTATTTAAACATACAAAAGGGAAGAGTTTTGTGAAATCAGAGTCTTGTATAAAAGGAACAGCATTGATAAAACTTCTTGCTTTAAAGAAACCTATCTAAATATCAACACTTGTTTTACCTGTTCTTAAACTGAAAAGAAAATTAATTTCAGGAGCTACATATAATCCAAGTTCTTAAAAGGCTAAGTTAGGAGATCGCAATTTCAAAGCAATTCCTTATACAAAGACACTATAACTCAAAAGGAAAAAATTCCTCCACACATAAACAGAAAAGAAAAATGAAATCAACAAACAAGAAGCTGAGGCAGGAGAACTGAAGTTTAGGCTTGCCTAACACCTCAGACAGATGTCAAGGCCATCCTGAATAATGAAATGATGGTATGCTCACCTATCATATGGTGAACCTTTAGGTTCCTTCTCCAGTGCAGTAGGAGAAAAAAAATCAGTTTTACTTTTTATTATTTGATAATTGCATACTTGAGTCCCCATGTGTGAAATGTTGTCTTTTAATCAGTCTAGTCCTCTTTACAAACCTTATGTCTCACTTATCATGCCTAGGAAATGGAAATCCCGCCTTGGAAGGATTTCATACCAAATGAGAGTAAAACCAAAAGAATTACAAAAGGAATGGAAGCCGAAGATTAATTGGGAAAGTACAGAAAAAGACGCAGCTGTTTCATTGGCTCTGGGTTCTTCTCCAGCCCACAGTTCCAACAGCAGTCAGTGAGTTTCCTTCAAGCAGGAGCAGAGTACCTTAGTCTTTCCTTACCATCCTGTAAGATTTAAAACCCATCACCACTAATCTGAGTAAAGCTCATTTTTTCAGCAATTTCCACAAAATTCTCCCTTATCTATCTCTACCACTTCCTGTAACTACCCACAACTTATACTTCCCTGTATCCAACTCTTCCTAGATTTCAAATCATTCATGTTACAGGCAATGATAAAATGCAAATATACTTTCAAATGTGAGAGTTGGTTGGGTGGGTTGGGCTAGAAGAACTGCAGATTATGAATTTCAGTTCATGGTCACCTCTGTGAAGTTTGATCTGTCAAAACTTTCATCGCCAAAGTCACAGTTACAAGAGTCCTTTCCCTACCATCTACGTTAGCACCATGATTGGAGAAACTGAAGCTGGACAAAAAGGAAATACTACTAAAATGAGTCCATTTATTTATACTTTGTGTATTTAGTTCACCATCAATTTCTGCACGGATTTTTAGTTTTAAGTCACTTACTTCTAATACTTACCTTCATGATCTACCTGCGCTGTCAGTGATAGACTATGAGCTCCGTCCAGGAAAGGCCAGTGAGTAGGAGCTCACTGAGTGATGATTAGAAAAATATCAATATTCTTTCGTCTTTAAATGGCATAATCCTTTAGGGGGAAAAATACCTAATACATGAGAAAGGGAGTTTTGTTTTGCCTTGTTTTAATGACAAGGACATCTTACTTGGAAATAAACCACAGCTTGAAGTAATAATACATAATTTCTCAATGATGATAATAATGTATTTGTGACTTAAACTATATCATGTATCTATTGTAAGTATATGCTTATATTTATAATGATATTCATATAATATTGAAATTTAAGCAAACCATAGAGATAACATTTTTTAACTCCATGTTTTTAACACAGGGGTAGTTACAGGACTCATTTTAAACAACAATGTGGTCAAAACATAAAACCAAGACGATCCTCTTTTCTCTTTCCTACTGAAGATTATCAAGTCTAGAGGATCAGACCAGTTGACGTAGGGTACAGGTGAATGAAGAGCTTTTCTCTCCCCTCTCCTGGACCTGAAGCAATTGTCTGGCTTAAGATAAAATAAAATACACACATTTTTATGGATGACTTGAAATAAGGTCCCTGGAAAGGTGAGTGATTGAAAAATGACCTTTCAGAAGTCCATTCCAGCCGACTGCATTTATCTTCATCATTAACTGATTTGTGACTCATCTCTAATATGAAGGAGAGTGATGTTGTACTGTCTTTTAAAATTTGTGAGGCTCAGTTTGAAGTGTATATTACAGAAAGTACTAGGTCTATGCCCAAAGGCAAATCATTTTGTTCACCATGGATTAGTCATGCAAATGTATTTTATAACTAGTCATGGCTGGGGGAAATTAGAGGTGATTACATAGCTATAACCAGCCAACTTGGAATTGGAAAAGTGAAAGTAACAATTTCAGCAGTGAAATATAAAAGAATTCTGAGTTTAAATGTTAAAGCGGTTACACAAAAGCCTCCATTCTCCAACAGAAGGTGGTACTTGTTTGTTGCTTGTTACACCACTGGCCAGGACGCTGGGATCCCATGGTGATTCTTACGCATAATGGTGAAAAGTGACTAGATCACACAAGAATATCCAATGTGCCTCTGAGTTATGAGGAAGACATAAAGGGTGACCAAAAGAAAAGGTAAGGAAGGGTCTCAGTGAAACAAAGCGGGTATTGTTATTATTAAGAATGTTGTGTGTAACTGCGAGAGAGTCTGTATACTAGCAAAAAATATATTTTGGTCAATTTAGGCTTAAAATGAGCAATGGTGACTCCTTGGATTGTTTAGTCCTTTCTAGTGATGGGGCTACACACATATAATTCAATTGTCTGGGCAACAGATAGAAGAAACTCAGGTTTGAGATCAGCCTGGTCTACACAGCAACTTGAAGGCTTCCCTTGGGAGCATACGAAGACTCTTCTTTATTCCCTGCCCCGAGAGCAGGGGTATTGGCTTTGATCCTATTTTTTTAAATTATTATTGTTTATTCACCTGGGTTTTTTTTTTTGAAGACCGTGTTGCACTCTTTCCCAGAATGTCCTATAACTCACTCTGTAGCCTCAAAACTTAGGAAGTTTCTCTGCATCAATCTTCCCAAAACTGGGGATGCAGGTTTGAACTATCAAGACAGAGTAAGTTATTTTTAATCCATTTAAAATCCATAAAATTTTTTTAAAGTATATTATTAAAAAGGCCAATAAGGCATTTAAAGTTTAAATTAAAGGAACAAATATAATTTTTAAAAAAGGGACAATAGGGAAAAACAAAACAAACAAATAAACAAAAACAAAAGAAAAAATAGAAAGAGTGTTCATCTCCAAAGCAATAGATCTATGCATTGGTATAAAAAGTGATGATGTTTTCCCATCATTGTTCTAAGCATTGGTCTAAGAGTCAAAAGCATTTTACACTCATGAAATAATTTTAATATAAACTTTTATGTACAATTACTCTTTATTAAATGTATAAACATATTTACAGATGTTCCTGGGCCTTATTTTGCTGGAATCAATTTAAAAGTGAGGATTTCTTCCACATCTTTTAACCTTAAAGTGTTTTAATTTTATAAAATAGTTCGAAATAAAAAAGAAGGACTTCTCAGATGGAGATCAATTAAAATTTTACACTTTCAAATTTTCTAAGTTTCATGGGCAGCCATTACAAAGCAAGGTAGTAACTCAAAAGTTCATACTAATCAGTATAATTTTCCAAGAAAATAAGAAGTTCTGCCTATAAGATGCTCGTTTCTATCAAATATTGCCCACTCAACCCAGAACATACTCATTTACATATACCATGAACAAATAGAAATACGGGGGAGAAATCAGGAAGTGAAACATTAAGAAGACTAACCAAGACTGAGCTATTTAGGAAGCTGCAAGAGATTCAATTAGCCTGTTGGGCCTACAGAATGCAAAGGCAAAGTCAGTCCTTGAAAAACCAGATACATCTCACAGTCACACCCCATCCAAGGCTAGTATACTTTTATTTCTTTTTTTTCCCCCTCTAACTGCTCCTTTAATTTTTAAAGTTCCTTGGTTATAAAATCTTATCAAACTCCCAGAAAACAAATACAAAACATGCCAGACATACAGACATTATGAGCACAAAGGCTTCCAAGAACGTTAGCATTTGGGCAGCAAATATTGCTCTCTATTTGAGTAAGCATAAAAATGGCCTATGCAGACTTTTGATTTTAGATCTGGTCTGGTGGGAAAACTGTAATATGTAACCTGAATCAAATTTGACACAGGTAATAGGTTAGGTTTTCCAGTGCCTAGATGATTTTTATGTTTTATATATATGATGCTTCTTCACCTATAGAACAATCTCTATCATTATTTCATTATAGTTTGATACCCAATCATCCAGATTGTACGAACATGTACTTATCTCAAAGTGACTATAGGAACAAGTGTATTTGATTTCCTCTGTCAGTGCAGGAGAAACAAATATATTGGCTATGTTGTCAGAGTCTAACTAAATTGCCTTCATTAAAGAACACAATGTGCTAGGTTAAATTACGGTTCTTTAACATGCACTGACTGTCCTACTACTGAAGTAACTCTGTAAAGGTGAAAGAACCTCCCTAGAAAATTGTCTCTAAACTGCCTAGAACACACAGGCTCCAGGCTCTGAGGAACTATGTAGTAAATGTATACAGTACATAACTGAATGAGATACTATGAAAAAGAATTTATACAATGAATTTAACTTTGGCTCAGAGCACAACATTTCAAGTCAACTGTTAAGTATTAATTTTTTTGGACCAATATGTGCCAGAAAACACATTTGCCCTGGTCGGTGTCTATTATTGATGACACCAAGGCTTCACTGTATTGATCAGTGTTTGTTTGGTTCTATTTTCCTCTTCCCAGTGTTCTGTTTAGGAGGAAAATGCTTTTCTGGCAAAGGACTTGCAGGACACAATTCTGGTGAAGGGCAGTGCCAATGGGAAATTTTCTGTGACTGGTTGATTTCATGGGGTGTATTTAAAAATATCACAGTCTTTTTTTTTCTTTCAAATTTCAATGCAAAAATATGCATCACATATCTCTTCTGGCCCTATTTCCCTTTTTCCAACTTTCCATAATAGTCTGTATTCCATCCAATTTGAACACTGAATAGATTCTTTTAAAATCATCTTTCTGTAAGGAAACATGGTTCACTTTCTGGCCACTGAGGGATTGATTAACTCTCTTGATATCTACCTGATTTATACTTTTAAACTCAAAAAATTACATAAAATTTTTATTTTAGTAAAGAATACTTATCTTGAAAAACATTTAAAAAGACAGTCTGGATTTCCATCATCTTTTATGAAATTACTATAGCAACAAAATTACATTAGACTTTCTGATTTCTCCATGGTGTCCTTGGATAAATAAACAACCCAGTAGACCATGTTAAATGCCCCAAATGTGACTGGGAAGAGAATACGAGCGTATTTGTCTATTTTACTTGTGCCAGATCCGGAAGGCGGTGGAGCAGGGGGAGGAGGTGTGGCCGACCCAGTTCCAGCAGCCCCTGTTGTGTTAACTGTGGTCTTAATTCGCCCAAGTCTGGACCCAAATGCGGGGCGAGTAGAAGTTGACCCCAAGGAAGCCGGTCTTGATGTGCCACAAGGGCTGGGAGAGGGCGCAGAGGAAAGACCTTTAGCTGCAGAAATTGTCTCAGCCGCATTTGCCCTGCTGAATGGGTTTGGACTGGAAGCTAAGTACTCCTTAGGGGTGGCTTCAGAAGACTCTTGGACTGTGGTCGTCTTGCTGGAATGGTTCCCCATCTCAGTTCTGCTATTGCTATCAGTTTCTGAGTGGACCAGGGCATTTGTTCTTTTCCTCATGTTCAAATTGCCATGTATATTCTGAAAAGATACATCAAAAATTACATTTATTACGGAATTTTATGTAGATCTGTACAGAATTCAAAGTCAAAAATGTATGATTACTGGCGGTCTATAAAATAACCATTCAAAAACCCATTGCAGCTATTTAACTAGATATAATTGCTTATTTCTACCCTTACTAATAGTAAGTAAAGAGATGGAGTAGTAAAGAGAATTAAGAGGAAGCTTACAAATGGGTGACCGGAATAAACAGGCCCAGAGGCCATCAATGAAAATATATAATTGAGAGTTCCGCTGGGAGAGATGGGCATTTTCTATGACTATATATCTTGACACTACAATCAGACATTTTATAAAGGTTCACTCCATAGCTCATGCTCTTGTGAATTATGGCTTCAAGGTCAATGAGTAGAGTTTGAAAACAGAAAAAAAGGAGAAAGCAGTATCACAAAATAGAGTCAAAGCAGACTTCAAGGGGCTTAGAATGCATTCCTTATGTCAGCTTGGAGTATTCGCCTAAGCTGTTGCAGCTGAACTAATGAGAATTGTGGCCTAACATATCGCGACAAATTTCAGTTGGAGACAATTGAAATCAAAGTCAACATCAGCATAGAAGCTGAAGACACCATTGCATGCTGCATTTTTCCTTTGTAATTCTTAAACCCCATTTAACATAAAAGAATAATCAATTTTAGTTTATTCTAAAATCTTACATACATAGTAAAGAATATAAAAGTGTTCAAGGGTTTATACTATTGCTGGAGAGAAATTATGTATACTTACATATCATGAAATAAAAATAATATAAGGAAAGTAAAACATATTAAAAGTAAACTAGTAAGTAGGGGCAGAGAGAAGGCTCGATTAGTAAAGGCATTTGCTGACAAGATTGGTAATTGGGGTTCCTTCCCCAGGACCCTTATAGTGGAAGGAGAGAGCTGACTCCAACAAGTTGTTCTCTGACCTCCACACTCACACTGCTACTTTTACATTCTTGTGTATGTGCACCCACACATGCAAACCTATATATACACACAACATAAGCACATATAAAGTAAAAATAACTCAAAATACATGGAAAAGGGAAGGGAGTGAAGAATTATTACTTGCATACATACATACACACACACAGAAAGAGAGAGAGAGAGAGAGAGAGAGAGAGAGAATTTATTTCTGCTAACAGTTTGATTATAGGTTCACTAATTCTTAACCTAATGATGGGTAACTTCTAACTCCATCCATGGTAGAATAACAAAGATTGACAGAGATTGAATTTTTTTCCCTGATTGAAATTAATAGAAAGATATATATATATATATATATATATATATATATATATATATAATATGCACAGTAACTCATTTTCTGAAGATACTGGATATCAAACAACATAGGATGAGAATCACTGAGAGAGAAGAAATAAACCCGAGAGTTTCCATAGTGTGGTGCAGAGAAAAAAGAACCCACAAAAAGGCTACCCAGCCTCCCGAACTGAAGAGATGATTTGAGAATGTGTGTAGAACAAGGAGACTAGTATTCGCAGGACAAAGAACTAAAGAGGAAAATGTTGACCAATGATCTCTAAAAGTCTGGACAGAGTTATGTCCTGTCAAGAGCAGTTTATGAGTGAGAAGTACTCATGCAAATTTGAAAAACAGCATCACCAGAAAGCATGGGACAGAAAGGTACTTGATGCCCTCCCAAAGATGAGTATAATGAATGGGTGGTCCCATTCATCAGATTTGAAAGTGTCAATATAAATTCAGAAAGTCTTTACTTCAGAAGTTTGGAATGAATAGTTCTAAACAGTGACAATAAATCTAATAGTCCTACTGTTGATTCATGAATTTTAATAGCAAGATCAGAAGATGAAACTGACTCTAATAATGTATCTGCTCTCTAGAACAAAGTGCAAAAATATTGAAGAGTCTCTTTGGAATTCCCTCTGGATTAGTATTCTTCTAGAATTTTCTGAAATCCTGTGAAACATACTCTGTATAGTGGACAGGTTACAAGGCTGATTCTAATCCATTATGTATCTTTACAGTCACGCCCCATGTCATGTGCACACTCCTCTCTGATCAAGAGATAGAGTCCGGTACTGGAGAGATGGCTCAGTGGTTAAGATCACCAGCTACTCTTTCAGAGGTCCTGAGTTCAATTCCCAACAACAACATGGGGGGCTCACAACCATCTATAATGGGATCTGATGCCCTCTTCTGACATACAGGCACACAGGCAGAGAGAGCACTCATATATCAAAATAATAACAATGATTGTAAAATTCAAAATGAGATAGATTTTATCTGCCCATAATCTAAATTATTCATTTCTTTGGCTAATAATGTACTGTGGTAATGATAATACGTCATTTCCAAATCTACCTCAAGAGGTCTAATTTGATTTCATCTTGCTTAAGGTGTTGTAACCAAAATGACAAAGAACACTCCCAAGTGAATTTGCAGGGTAGGAAACCATTGGAACATAATCATTTATCCCAGTGAGACCAAACAACAAACTAATGGGTTTGTTCCAGCTAAGAGAATATAAATAGCTTAGGCAAGCTAAATCAACACAAGCAGAAATTTCACACTGATCTGTAGAATTGAAAGCAAAAGTAAATATTTATTGTATGTGCATAAGTATTGTCATGACTTCTTAGGTAATAGCGTTGTTCTTTCAACAGTTTATTGTCTATAGACCACTAAAAATCAAGCATTCAGGAAGGAGGACTTTCTAAACCTCTCTTGTGAGGGAAATTCCTTCAATCATGTGTGCTAATGCAAAGGCTGCTTTGCCCAGAGCTCATAGAGAACCTTCAGGGGGTGCTATTGCCTAAAGGCACACAATAGCTAAATGACCAAGGCTTGTCCTTCTTCAGAATTTCCTTTTCTAGCCACTACAATATTTTTAAACTGGGAGAAATTTTAGTGTTACCTTGCTGTGTTGAGGAGGAAAATAAGAAGTCACAGCAAGTATCCCTAAGATTTGCTGCACTGAATAGCTTTTCTACTCAGACAAGTGACAGAGGCATTCAAAAACTTACTGTTCAGAAGTTTATTCAAGACTTGGAAATCAGAAGTATGGCATATTCTTTCAATGTCACAAAGGCATATGGATCAGCAGGCCACCCAAGGGACGTGAACATTTTAGCATAATTTACCTGAGTGTGATTCTGCTATTTATTATTTGATTTGTGACCAGACACTGCAAAGTTTCCATGGGCCATTGAAGCTTCGTGCCTAGCAGAAAATATCAGTAGTACTTATGGTTTTATGTGAAACAGTTCTATATCACAACTAGTCATCACAGTCTAGAATTCATTCCTTAAAAAATGTGTTAGGGGGCTCAGGGCATGCTCAGGGATGGAAACCCTACTGAGAACCTCTCCATGAGGGGCTGGGCAAAGGTTCAGCAAGTAAACAAGATCATGATTCAAATGATATAAAGGCTTGCTTTTGAATTCCTGAGATAGTATAAACCTCAGGAGCAGTGGGACCCATCTATAACCCCAGCGCTATGAAGGCAGAATATAAGCTACAGGCAGGAGTGATGTTTCAAAGTTTGTGAGCCAGACTGCCTAGTGTACACAGTAGAGAGTATGTCTCAAGACAAGGTAGAAAGCAGAGACCAAAACCTGAAGTTTTCCTCTGACCCCTACACGCATTTCATGTGACATGTACTTCTCCCTTCACACACAAACACACAGGCATATAGATTGCCCTTTCGCCAAAAGATTTTGAATTAGTTTCCCACCTAAGTAATTGACTAATGAATTGAAAAAAATCTTGACATATGTACATCTGATATTTGTAGAGGTAAATTTTTAATTGTTTGAAAACTATATTCTGATATACATTGTATATATAGTTCAAGGTATTTAGAAGTATGCATCAATGAAGCAAGAAGCAATGGGAAGGAAGAAAACAGAATAAAGGATGTCATTAGGATTGCTGTAAGGAAACAAAACCCAAATCTGTGTATGCCTAGTTTGAATGTTATAATAAGTTTCTAGAGCATAACAAGTGTTTTATTAATCACTGTACTTTAAATTACTCGGTCGGAGCCTACTTCATAACTGATCTTTGCACCAAGATGAGAATATTATAGAAAGTCAAGATCTTTCAAAGTGTTTTTACTTAAAAACATTACATTCAGGGCCAAATTTACTCTTCTTTTGTGGAGCCAGCTTTTGGACTATTGTAGGTAATGCAAAAATAAATAAATTATCTGGATTTTATTCTAAATCTAACTGAGAAGGCCTAAAAAGTCTCAATAGTATTTATCAATCCTACACAAAGGAAAAAGTAATTTGACGAGTTTTAGACATAAATCTTTGCTCTTTGCTAAGCAACCAAATGCTATTTAAATTATCTTCCTTTTATGTCTGAAGGTAGACTGTGTAAAGAGTAGTCATCATTTCTCATGCTGACAAGCCACCAAAGAACTGAGAAATCCATTCCTAGCCGAATAGGAATCACTAGGAAAAATACTGGCGTAGAAGTCAAGTCTTGGAGCAAACGAATTGTCAATCAGTGTGATGTTGATTCATTTAGATTTCAGAATCTTCTATTAGTATTCCACAAACACGTAGTCATTTCCAAAAGGACATAAGTATCAACTGGATTTTTTAAAGATAAATCAATTTTAAAACATTTTGTCACGAGTCACAGTAGCCTAAAGGGGAAAAACTGCAGTGGGATCGAGATGGTAGGTCACAGATTCAGACATTGTCAACAACTTAAAGCAGCAACCAGCAAACAGATTTAGATCCAAGCAATTCATCAGTCATGATTGTGATCTGGTACAATATCTAAAGAAGTATTCTAACTAAAAAAAATTAAAATTCATCTCAACTTATTACTCTAGCTGTGAATAGATAAAGTAACTAAGATTAGGTTTGCAGAATGCAAGCAGCTATGTTGATATTCTTTGCACAAGAAGTTAATGAAGTTTAATAAAATGTAATTTAACACTCCTAAATTAAAAACTAACAAGGCTAATAATGAACAGGTTTA